AAGGTTATGGGGAGACTTGATGGGCTAGTTCTGCTCCTATATCTTATGGCCGTTATGGTCTAGTGTCACTTTCCCTCAGTACTGCGCTCGGGTGCTTGCCTTGATTTTTGCATTTAAGCTCTGGAGTGGGACTTCAACCTGGAGCCTTGTGACTCAAAAGTAAGTCATGCTAACAACTAACTTGAATACTACTAGCTGACATACAAATGCAAAATTATAACAATCTTTAAAAATACCTTATTTTCCTTCTGAATCCAGCCATTCTTTCCTCCTTTTAATTATTTCTGGACCTGATTTTACATTATTTTCACTAATTCTCACCTATTCTAATTTATACTTCTTTTTCAGTCCTTAATTCTGTTAATTTCATAATCCTTTAATCTGATTAAGGAGATTCAAAATTGCTTGCACCGTTCACTCAGACTCTAGGTGTCTAATTTCCTTCATTGTGATGTTGTCAGCTCACACTCTAAGCTACTTGCCATGTGAACATCTTAAAAGCCAAGCATCCGAGGACAAGTCTATCTAATGTCAGATTCCATTTTATTTACTCCTATAGCAAATTATGGCCCCTTCTCTCTTCTTACTGCCTCATGCATATTTTCTTATTACTCCTACAGGTACTGTTGTGATAAGGTTCAGAATTTCACTATCTAATAAAAAAGTCATTTATTTTATTCATTCATGAAATGTTGCTATTGCTAAGCCAGCATTTATTGCCCATCCCTAATTACCCTGTAGAAGATGGTGGTGAGACTGCTTCTTGAAATGTTGCGGTCCTTGGAATGTGTAAACACCCACAATGCTGTTAGGAAGGCAGTGCCAGTTTTTTGATGCAGAAACAGTGCAGGAATGGAGATAGAGTTCTCAGTCTGAATGATAAGTACCTTGGAGGAGGTCTTGGAAGTAGTGGTGTAATCATGCATCTGATCCCCTTGTCTTTCTAGATGGTATGGTGCATCAGTTTGGAAATTGCTGCTGGAGGAGTCCTGGTGAGATTGCCCAGTACATCTTGTCGATGGTACACACTACTGGCACTGTGTATCACTGGTGAAGGGAGTGAATGTTAAAAGTGGTGGATAGGGCGTCAATCATATCGGCTGCTTTGCCCCAGGTGATTTCAAGCTTCTTGAGTAGTTTTGGAGCTGCACTCATCCAAGCAAGTATGAAGTATTCCATCGTGGAGATAGGACATGAGTTACTTACCTGCTGCCAGACCTGCTTTTGTAGCCATAGTAGTTGAACGGCTGGTCCAGTTCAGTTTCTGGTCAATGGTAACCTTTAGAATGTTGATACTGGGGAATTCAATGATGATATATCCACTGAATGTCAAAAAGAGATGGTTAGATTCTCTCTTGCTGGAAATGGTCATTTGTGTGGCATAAACGTTACTTGCAGCTGATCAAGCTTGGATGTTGTCCAAGTCTTACTGCATTGGGCATGGACTGTTGGAGTATCGAAGGTGTTGGGAACAGTGTTGAACATTATACACTCATCATTGAATATCCCCAGTTATGATCTTATGATGGAGGGAAGCTCATTTATGTACCACTGAAAATGGTTGGGCTGATGTCATTGTCCTGAGCTATCCTGATGATTGACCTTGGACAACCACAACCATATTCCTATGAGCTAGGGTGTGACTGCAACTACAAGAGATTCCTACTGACTCCAGTTTTGCTAGGGCTATGGTACCTTGACGCCATACTTGGTCAAATGTGGCTTTGATATCAAGGGCAGTCACTGTCAACATCACCTATGGAGTTCAGCTCTTTTATCCATCTTTGAATCAAAGCATAATGAGGTCAGGAGCAAAGTGGCTCTGGCAGAACCCAAACTGAGCATCAATGAATATGTTATTCTTTTTCAAGTTCCACTTGATAATACTGTTGATGGTCCCTTCTATCACTTTGCTGAGCAGTGAGAGGAGACTAAACGGGCAGTATTTGGCTGGGTTGGGTTTGTCCTGCTAATTTTGGATAGGACAAACACTGAGCAATTTTCCACATTGCCAGATAGGTGCAAAAATTAATGCTCCTCCAAATGTTCACATTGAGCCATACAGTCAGTACAGTCTTTATTCAGTCTTTATTATATGATTATTTTGCTGCTAAGATGATCTAAGTAAATTGTCAGAGTATTGCAACTGACCTTGTGTCCCTGGCCAGTTAAGGGAAAAGCCTTAGTCCTTTCCCTGTTTGTCCTTGTTAGAAAGAGTGAAAATAGTGCATGTCGAAATCAAGCTTAGGCATAGAACCTAATTTGACTTAATAACCAGTCTGTAGTCACACTCTGGGATGGCAGAGTGAAACTGTTGCCTCATTAAAACTCACCACAATTAGCTATGAAGAAGAGAGATAATCCAAATAAGCAGAAAGCAGCTGCAAAAGACTCATGTGACACAATAGTAGCGTTACCTACTACTGGGATAGAAGGCCCTAGATCAAGTGCCTCCTGCCCCACACACAAGTCACAATGCAGCTTAACAGATTGATTTTTTAAACCGAGCTGAGTTCTTCAGGATCTTGAGCTCAGTGGTCACATCCCTAACTCTGGGCCAGCAGATTCAAGTTCAAGTCCCACCCCTCCCTGATGTGTGTTGCAACATGTCTGGACAGGTTGATCAAAAAATAAGAAATAAAGCTGCAAACTGTGTTTGTGCTATAGTGCCGCTAACACTGATAACCAGAGTTCCTGCACACGAGACTTGAATTCTAAAAAACATGTTACAAACAAGTGCTTTACATGAGTAAAAGTGCTGTTTTAATGGCAATTTGACTTCATGGCAACATTGCTAAATCTTGTCTTGTATCAGAGAAGAAAAAATAGTGTCATTCCATTCCAATTGTATCCTCATGTGTTTCTGTCATGTCACAATTAATTATGTCTTAAGTCTGTAAAGAAATATAAAAGACCCACTTCTTAACCTGGCCAAATTCATTTGCTAAAAATTCATTCTCAGGATGACTGTCACTGGGAAATACTCATTCTCAGTTGTCCTGAGAAGATAATATTGGGTGTTGTTCTTGAAATGTAGCCTTCATGTAATAATCTTTGTGGACAGTAGATGCTATGCTTGGCTTGCCAGGCCCCTGAAGGTCAGCAGAGCCAACCAGTTTGAGGGACTGAAGCAACATATGGGCCAGACCGTATAAGGTCAGTAGGTATTCCCCACAAAAGGATATTAAGTTTATAATCTAATTGTACAACAACTGTAACATGTTGCAGTGTTCCGAGGCGCTTAGAAACATCACAAAACAAAATATCAAGAATAAAGGGTATAATTCTAAAAGGGATGGAGGAACAGGGAGACCTGGGTGCCTAAGTACATTACTCATTGAAGACAGCAGGTCAGGTTGAGAGAGTGCTTGATAAAGTATATGTCCTCCTGGGCTTTCTAAACAGGGCATAGGGTATAAAATCAAGGTGGTTATGTTAAACCTGTATAAAACACTAGATTGGCCTTAACGAGTGTATTGTGTTCAGTTTGGCGCATTGGTTTAGGACTTCAGAGAAGGCACAGAAAAGATTCACATGAATGGTTCCAGAAAAGAAATTCTAATTACTCAAAAAGAATTGAGAAATTCGGAAAATAGTTGCATTGCTCCTTCAGAGGGCCAAAGTATGTACCATAGGCCAAAAATCCTCCTTCTAGAATTTGATGATCTGGAGAATGTTATGGAATTTACTCCATCAGCCTCATATTTGCAACTCCCTACAACACTCAAAGTTTGACTGTATGCATTACCCATTATGTGCCATGTTTTCTGGGTCAACATCTTGAGCAATTCCTATAATGTGTTTAAGGTAGTTATCCAGACAATATGTTGAGGCACCAACAAGGGCATCAGCTATGTTACATCTAATATTGTGCAATGATAAGGGACTATTTAATAATTAATAGTTTAACAATCTTGTTGTAAAAGAACCTTTCGGAAATAGTTATCATAGTATGATAGAATGTTCCATTAGGTTTGAAAAACATGTGGTTCAACCTGAAACTATTGCCTTAGATATAGGCAAGCACTAAGTAAGAGAAGGAAGTTGGTTGTGGTGGAATGGAAAAATACATTCTAAAGTTTGGCAGTAGATAGGCAATGGCTAATATCTGAAGAAATAATACTTGGCTTTCAAAAGATGGACATGCCTTCAAGGTAAAATTACCGAACAGGAAAAGCTAGAGAGCTGTGGCTGACAAGGGAAGTTAGCATTAGATAAGCATTAGATCAAAGGTGGAGTCTTATAAAGTCGTTCCACCCTTCCCCCCAACCCCCCAAAAAAGTGGTATGCCTGAGGATTTTAGAATTATGCAAAGGAAGACAAACAGCTGACAAAGAAATAATTGAATATGAATATAAAATAGCAAGAAACATAAAAACTGATTGTAAAAGCTTCTCTAGGGAATAAAAAAGGAAAAGATTTACAAAGGCGAATGTGGATCCATTACAGACAAAGATAGGAGAATTTATAACAGGAAATTTTTTTAAAAACGCAGAAAAGTTAAACAAATTAATGTCTCCAGAAAAGAGTTTAACTGGTAATTATTGCATGACAGATAGTGGGAGCTCGCTAGGTGTAAATTGCAAAGCCTAAGGAGGATCGAGCTGGTGAGCCCATAGTGATCATACCCACAAAATTGCAGCAGAAGTCCATGGGCAACAATTTAAAGCAAGGTTATTGTCCCTCCCTCGCCCAAGAGGTACCGTGTGCGAATCAGTTGTTCGCGATCCCAACCTCCAGTTCGTGGTATCATCTGGCCACAGAATTTACCACGGGTATTTCTGGTGTGTGTCGTTCAATGTGTGCCACTTACCGACCTCTCTTGTGAGAAATCGCAAGGTTGGACCACTTATTGAATTAGGTAAGCAACGATATTGCTTCTAGCAACCGCCTGTCATTATTTCCCCAGACTCGTTAGCCAAGTGCCCATGGCTGGCCCCGTTCTCCGCGGGGAAGCAAGGCCCCTGCAGCCAGTGCAGTGCAGACATATCAACCATTACCTGCAGTCGCCAAGATCGACTGGTCTGTGCCTGGAGCTGAGGGCGGGTGGTCGTCGCCTAAATTCGCCACTTCACCAAATGTTTTCCGTGCAACTGCCGGAATGTGACCATAGCAACGCCAAGCCGTGACCGTAGCAACCAGAATGTTACAACGTCACCGCTTGGTCACATGATCCCTCCTAACCTCCCCAGTGGTTAGAGAGTATCTGTTTCTCTGTACTCATACTGAATGTATCCAGCCTTCTCTTAACTTTTCGGTTATCACCATTTATGGTATTTTGTTTCTTTGGAAATATTATTATTTGCTCCGACCGCTTAGGAATGAGTACCACATTACAGCATTTGGTAAAATAAACGTTAATATCATTAATTGTACCATCCATTTATTATTGTGTTAGATGCGGTTCGTTTGGTAGCCCCATCGCCCCGCAACCACAAGGTTCTGGGATCTAGGTCCCACTCTCGGGCTTGAGCACAAAGGGCTGACACTCAACTGCAGTGCCGAAGGAATTGTGGTCTTCAGTATGAGATCATAAACCTTGAAATGTTATCTCAAATTCTCTCTTTCCTGACGTGCTAAGTAATTCTTAACATTTTAAACATTTTTAAAGAACCCATGGTAATATTTGAAAGAAGGGCGGGGATGGTATCCTCTATGTCCTGACTAATATTTAACCCTCCATTATCACACTGATGTTTATGGGAGTTTGCGGGGTACATATTGACTACATTGCGACAATAACTGTTTGCTTGGCTGTAATTGGCTTGAAAAAAAAATCAGACACCTTGAAAAAGCACTGAAAATTGTAAGTTTTTAAATTATTTTCTAAGAAGAAGTCACAGCAAATTGTCCCGAATCTATGATTGCAGGGTTTTGTAGTCAGCAAGCAAGAAAGGGGATTTTTTTTTCTTTCCCAGTTGGTTCAGTCTTCTCAGGCTTACAGAAGCAGAGGTAAAGGAACAATGCTTGCTGTTGGGCTTGCTGACGACAAACGGGTGTGAGAAAATAGGCTTGCTGTAATCTGGTGTCTGATTCAGATCGACAGCCTCAGCAGGGGATCTGTGATGTCTAAGAGTTGGGCAAGGGTACCTCTTCAGCAAATCACATTGAAGAACTTTCATTGAGTCTAAACTATGCAATGCAAATTAGAAAGTATGAATATGACTGAAATGGTTGATATACAGATAGCAAAATAGAAAAGGGAAACAGGTGGAATTTAAAAAAAGCAAGTTAATACAAGTTTTAAGAAATTGAAAATTGCCAACACTAATTTTGTTCTGAAGGAATATGATACTATGTTTGAAAAATAATGTTTTCATTGCTAGAAAGGCTGTTAATCGGTTAGTTATCATTTATTTTCATATGGCTAAACTTTTCAACCATTTTAGTGTGGAATTAGCGAGGGGTTGCAATTTGGTAAGACAAACCTGGGCAGGACTTACACAAATAAGGGCAGGGCCCCTGGGTAATGCTGTCAAACAGAGAGACCTAAGGGTGCAGGTACATAGTTTCTTGAAAGTAGTGTCATGGGTAAGGTGATATAGAAGGCATTTGGCATGCTTGCCGTCATCAGTCAGAGCACTGAGTACAGGAATTGGAACATCATATTACACCTGTACAAGACATTGGTGATACCACATTCGGAGTACCACGTACAATTCTGGTTGCCCTGCTAAAGGAAGGATGTTATTAAACTGGAAAGGGTGCAAAAACGATTTACAAGGATATTACCGAGACTGGAGGGCTTGAGTCAAAAGGAGAGGTTGGATAAGCTGGGACTTTTTCCCCTGGAATCTAGGAGGCTAAGGGATGACGTTGTTCAGGTTTATGAAACCATGAGAGGCATAGATAAGGTGAATAGCCAAGGTCTTTTTTCCAGAGTAGGGGAGTCCAAAACTAGAGAGCATAAGTTTAAAGTGAGAGGGGAAATATTTAAAAGGAATTTGAGGAGCAACTTTTTCACACAAAGGTTGGTGCGTATATGGAATGAGCTGTCAGAGGAAGTGGCAGAGGCGAGTACAATTACAACATTTAAAAGATGTTTGATCAGGTACATGGATAAGAAAGGTTCAGCGGGATATGGGCCAAATGCAGGCTAATGGGACTAGTTCAGTTTAGGAAAACTGGTCAGCATGGATGAGCTGAGCCGAAGAGTCTGTTTTAATGCTGTATGACTCTATGAGTCTAAGAGCAATGTATTTCTGATGGCATTGTCTGGATTTCTGGTCAGAATTTTTCTCTCTGTGAAGTGGCAAGAATGATGACATGCAAAATGATTCAATTGGGCGAGAGCCCAAAGAGAAAAATGTTGATGTTGAGAAAAAATCTGTTCCGCTTATGCCCTCACGCCTTAGATGGGCATTCAGAATCTCGCTGTCAGATGGTGGGAAGCTTATTTCCATGCACTTACATCTCATTGTCAGTCCAACTCACAGTATTGATATCACACTTCCAAATTTGTTCTCTGCAATTGAGAAACTTGATGGTGCAAAAACTCAAGTGGTAAAACAGAATGAATACCTGACTACATGTCTCTCCAGCACCTATTGCAACTCACAGAAAGGCTGTGCAAGCCATCTGGTTTTGTTTTCACATTGAACCACTTCCTCTGCACAAGGTACCTCCATGGTTAATGAGAAAAATTTTTCCTGGACTGTCCATTCAGTCAACTTGGCATCAACAAAGCACCAGCCTGGCAATAACATCACACTTGCTCTTGGCCCACTGACATTCATCACTGCAGGACATCATGCAAGTACGTCAGAGCTGAAGGCCAGCCAGGGCTTCCATTCTTGTTGGTTTGTGCTGAGAGCTAGCCAGGTATGTTTTATATCTGCACAAGATTTTCAGCACCAACATGGAACTAGGTATCTTCTTGGTGTGAGCCTATTTTATTAGTGCACAAAGTCTTTTGTGTTTCCTTTGAGGTGGCACACTGTACGTCTTAGTTTGTTTTTTTAGTGCAGGAAAGGCAGGCAGCTTGTGATAGTGGGGGGGCACCGAGAATAAAAATATCAGTCGGAGAGTGGGTGGACTTGTCGCTGGAGCCATTTCAATGTCAGAACTGCAGTACGTGCCAGCAGTTTACATGGCAAATATGCTACATGCACTTAAAGAAGACAGTCATGTGTGAAAGTCAAAGGGGACAAGCGCTTAGTGGGTTGCGGGTGGACTTCAGTCAGTCAAGACATACTGCCACAGTCAGTCAAGGGGTTGGTCAGTTTGCAGTCTGAGATTTGGCCATGGTCAGTCAGGAACTTCATCCTACACAAGTCCAGAGTTCTGTTCTCTTGCAATCTGGGGATTAGACCACAGTTAATCCTTGAGGACAAGTGCAAGCTGTCTGGTAACTACCTGTCAGTCAGTCCAGGTGTTGTTGAGAGATCAGTCCAGACAGTTGGCCATAGTCAGTTGTGGGGTTTCATCACTGAAGGTTAAGGGTCTTATCAGGGACAGTATATGGCAGCCTAAGGAAAGAGGACAGATCAAGTCTGGCAATGGCCTTCCTTGTACATGGTAATTGAGGGAATGTTGACATTGATTGGAGGCATGTACATATAGTAGGATGGGAATTCATAGTTAATGGGAGTGGACTCAGAGTTTTTGCAAGGAGGATCCAGGAAGTTCACGATTACTCAGTCGCTACATGGGAATGGTATAGGGACAGCAAGTTCATAGGAGCCTCTTGAGTCATGGACTTTTGGTTAATGCAGAGAAATTAACAGTGATGTAAAGGATCTCAATCAAAATGCAGGCGAGATGAATGATCATTGAGGCCACAGGCACAGCAACACGAAATGGAATGTGAAAAGTGATGGGAAATTTGTGTGACACAGGTGGAGACTTCAAGTCATTCATGCAAGTTCAATGTCAGAGGTATTTTTAATCAGCCTGTTCAGGGATGTTACTTACACAGCTCTGGTGTAGGTGGGACTTGAACCCAGACCTTTGGGCTCTAGAGGTAGGGACACTATCACTGTACCACAAGAGCTCCAGATTCAATGTTGGAAGTCAATGGACAATAAGTTTACTAAATGGCTGCAACTGCATGCAAAGTGTGAAGAGTGCATCACTGTTTTCTTCCGCGGGGCAGGAACTTGCTTTCCATTTGCCTTCAAAATTTATTTCACCTGGAGGTCAGTAATTATTGAAGAATGCAGGTAACAAATTATGTCCTCAAGCATATGTAAATGATTTTAATGTAAATTAATGATTTAAAGTCTGTGCCTTGTCTCAGAAAAATATTTATTCAATGCTTTTCCCATAGTGTTGGCTTTAGTTGCATAAGCAACCGATGCTTTTTAATTTCAATCATGGAATGTGCATGTTGCTGGCTGTGCCAGCATTTATTGCCCATCCATAGTTCACCTTGAGAAGGTGGTGGTGAGCTAAATTTTTTAACCGTTACAATCCATGTGACAAATGTACACCAACAAGGATATTAGGGAGGGAATTCCAGCATATTGTCCCAATGACTTCGAAGGAAAGGCAGTATAGTTCCAAGTCAGGATCGTGAGTGACTTGGAGGAGAGCTTGCAGGTCATGGTGTTCCCAAGTATTTGCTGCCCTTGTCCTAGATGGAATTGGTTATGGCTTTGGAAGCTGCTGTATAAGGAGCTTTGGTGAATTTCTGCAGAGCATCTTGCGGATGGTACACACTTCCGCTAATGAGCATTGGTGGGAGAGGGAATGGATGATTGTGAATGTGGTGCCAATCAATTGGGCTGCTTTGTCCTGGATGGTGTTAAGATTTTTGAGTGTTGTTGGAGCTGCAGTCATCCATGTAAAGTAGAGAGTATTCCATAACAATCCTGAAATGTGCCTTGTTGATGGTGAACAGGCTTTGGGAAGTCAGGAGGTGAGTTACTCACCACAGTATGCCTTGTCTCTGATCTGCTGTTGTAGCCACTGTATTGACTTGGAGTGCTGCCTGACCTGCTGTGTTCCTCACACTGCTCCCCACACTGTATTGGCTAGTGGTGCAGCAAGGCTGGAGCACAAGTTTTCAGAATTACTGCTGGAATATTATCAGGGCTCTTAGCCTTTGCAGTATCCATTTCCTTGTAACATTTCTTGATATCGCATGTAGTGAATTGAATTTGTTGAAGCCTAGCATCTGTGATGCTGGGGA